TATATATACACATATATATATATAAAAATGTAATTCTTTAGTTCCAGATTTTTATATTGTGAACTTGGCGTTTTACAAATGAAGCTATAAACGCAAAACTCATCTAGTCCAGAACCATGCTGAAGAGACTTTGTTTTGAAAACCAAGAAGGAGTTCCAGTAATCCTTCTCATACAAAATACAGGCAATGACAGGAGATGTTATCTACATAAATCAGTTCAGACCACAAGTGGAATATTAAGCATGCTTTTATGTACAAAGTTTAAACTGTGTTAAAAAAAGCAATAACACAGATGACCACTGGTAGATAACTCCATGCAAGAGAGAGTGATTAACATTGAAAGGGAAGACATGGATGGCATTGTGGTAAAGTGCCAGCTACTGGTATTTCTCACATTATCTTACAGCTTGACATCCTAAAGGGCTTTAATGAAAGCTTCCTGCATCAAAATGAAAGCTTCCTGCATTGACACATAAAATTATGATCATGCAAGAAGATGAAGAAAATTACTCAGTAATAACAACCACAAACTCCAACCCCTCAAAAGGCTTGCTGCAGAGGGTATCTACCTTTACAACTGAAAATCATGACAATAACACAAAATGAACAGGTGCATATAATTTAATAGTATTGCTACATGTTTTTCACCTTTTCTATGCAGTCATCAAAAAATGCCAAGCCTGTATCCTTGTCACTCACAAAACTGCACTCTTCAATAAAGCGGCTGAATATCTGCGTTTTGGTAAGGTGCGTGTAGAACTTTGTATAGGCACGGTCTCTGCTTTTTAAAAATCCTGGTTGTAGAAAGGATCACAAACTAAATACCAGCTGAGTTCCATGACAAATTAACATACAAAGTGTCAATCTAAATTATTTAAAGTGCTAATACATAAAGTATTTGCTTTATCAATAAAAACAATTACTTATCACTACTTGCATTCAGAAGATTAAAATAACAGGTTTTTAGTATTTTTTTTCCACCATAGTTAACCAAACTTGGCAAGCAATCATCCCCATGTAATCTGCTCACTGTGTTTGACTTTTTGTGCAACAAAAATACTATGGCCCTGGACAAAAGCAGAAGCATCTAACAATTAAAACAATACTAAAACAAAAATTATGCTATCCTAAGAGGTGAAGAGTCTGACATTTAAGGTTTTCTAAACCTTTGACTAAAAATCTCTTACCAAATCTCTCTTCCAGTAATTAAAAAGAAACCCAAACAACAACTCAAAACAAAAAAAAACAACCCCAAACCACCACCACCACATACACAACAAGACACTTGTGACATTTTATCTAGCATTCAACTTATGAACAGGTCTGAAAAGTTAAGGTGGTAAGATGAGGAAAATAAGATGACCTTTGCTGACTGTTGTTTTGTTATGTTTCTGATCCCTGCCCCATTGTCTATTATTTTCTCATTTATACCAAGAACATTACCTTGTTCTTCATTACTGGGCTTCTGGCATTTTTGCTCTGTACACATTGAGAAATATTCTTTTATTCCCAAGAGCTGCCCTTATGGAATATGTCATGCAGAGAGGGCATCATGCTACTGAAAGACAGCTTCTCTAATATTACACCTATTGCAAAACAGCAGTTCTATGTCCATATACGTGCGCTCCAATCAACTTTGAATAGTTCAACTTTATACAACTGCAATTTTAAATACTGACAAGAATTGTACAACCAAAGTGAACTTCGACCTTTTAAAGTTAAGCAGCTCCTCAACCCTAAAGTTGTAATACTGGCAGTGCTATCAGCAGCTGGTTTGCCTCACCCTCACCTTGATGATCAAACAAGGAATCAGCAGCAGTTGCTTTATTTGAAGGCGCCTGCGTGATTGGTTTGAGGAATGTTCTGTAACCCTTTAAAATAGATGCCATGAAACGGAGAAATGCTTCCTGGATCTCCATCTCAAGTTCCATCATCTTCTTCTGCCAGGAGAAATCTGCCTCAATAGGAGTCATCTCCACTGCAGAGCCTTCCTGAGTTTTTCTGTGCACTAGCAATGAGCAACACATAAAATCCTACATTAAACTTCAGTGCATTCAAACAGGCAAATTTTGCAAGACATTGAAAATAGGATTTCTTTTTTCTACCTGCCCACATTCAGAAGTGGCAAACACTAGAAATCCAGTGATTATTTTCCAATTGATCTGGCCTGTATAAAAGGCAGGTTACCTCAAAAGTTGATCATGTGTTCTTCTAACTCATCCAGCCCTCTGGGACACAAAACAAGAGGGAGGATCTCAGTTGAGTTAACGTTACCATGTACCAACCGAATGTAGTCCTTCAGTAATATATCAACACAAATACAAAGTACCATGTTTTTCCTGCTCTGAAGATTGCACATCTACAAAGAAAGGGCCTAAAACTATTTTTCTAAAAATAAATCTAACATATTAGTGCACCAAAGAGTAGAAACAAGTAGATGACATTCAGAGTTTACTCTTGCACTCTTAAAAAAATATTAGCAGGTACTGCTCAAAATTATAGTTCCACACTTTTTATTTTAACAAAAATATCACTTATTGAAATAAAAATATTTATATAAACAATTACTATAGTAGCTTTATTATAATATTGCCAAAATATAAAAACTATCCATCTGAAAAAAGAACACTAGTTCTGCTCAAGCTAAAATAAGGAAGTAGTTCTATGTCAGGTAGACCACATGACATATCCTGCCGATAAAATCAAAAGAAAAGTTGAGGTTTTCTAACAGATGAAGTAAAGGCTATCTGCAAAAAAAAATTACAGAAAATTGAGACAAGAACACCTACCTCTTAATTAATGCACTTCTCTGTTTCTGTAATTTATAAACTTTGTATAAGTACAAGACTATCATTTTCTCTTTCCACATGATGGAACTAATATACTCTGAACCAGTCTACCTTAAAGAGCCTTTCTTCAGCCAGAAACAAGCAACACTTGAAAACTGTTATATCAGCTACAACTTTGCTCTTACCTGTCCAAGTTTCTAGGTTGAAATGGTTGTTTTTCTTCTGATAAAATACTTTGTCAAAATTTAGCTACTTGATTATTTTTGTAGAAAGGTCACTGTCTGAAATATTCAGATACCTGGACAATAGCTGAGATATTCAACATTATTTTACTCAAATCCCCATTTCCCCTGATATTTTTGATCAGAGCTGTAAATATTGTTTTAGGTTGAGATCCAAATGTGTTTCAGCTGAATCTTTGTTTAAATATAATTTAATCATGAGTAAAAGCTGAAAAAAATATGCAAAGTTACAGCAAACAAAATAAAAGTAAAAAACTAATTCACATCACATATAACAGAAAGTCCTTAAATTTATGTGCTAATTATAATTTAAGATTTGTAAGCGTGTATCAGAAAAATCAGTAGCTTTCTTTGAATATTTACTTTCCCTGTTTTAGGCAGTTTCTAGTCTAACCCCCTCCCATTTAATTTTATATATTTCACCTGCTGCCAGCTGTGGGTGCAGTTTCTTTAAAGTGCTAAGCAGACTTTTACAAGGCTTCTTAGGAAACTGTTTCCAGCTGGTGCTCTTCTTATCATCTGATCTAAAACACAGCAGAGGGAAGAAAGGATATATAAAATACAGATCATATAGAAAAGGATACCTCCTATAGGCTTAATTTGCTTCATTTTCAGAATGTAGTAACTATAAAAAGAAATTATTTTGAAAAGAATCACCGTCCCTATTTGTCAGAAATGAAAAAATGGGAGTCATGTAACTCAGAATTTCATTTCCTCAGATACAGAAGAGTATAAATTGAGTCATGAGTAGAGATTTCTCCAGTCTGTAAGGATGATCTGCATTAAGATTCGATTTAGACTTTTTAGTTGACGTTTCACTAAACTGACTTAGCTTTCATAACTTTTTTATCAGTTTAGTTAACAGAATTCAAACACACTAATTCGTATGTGATTACTATACAAAGTTTATACTACCATAAACCTGCCATACTGCCACTGATAGAAATAAAGGCAGTCTGGAATACAATATGAACTTGTTACTGCAAAATGCTGGAAGACCAGTCTGGTAGCTTTATGATCATACCGTACTCTGTAACATGTCTACGGCAGCTCAGCTCCAGTTTCAACCACAGGCTAGCAGGGAGTAGGAAGACTGCAAATTCAGTTCACAGTTTGAAAATTATGTGGTTGATTAAGCAATGGGGTAAATAGGGCTAAAGGGATGCTCACCTTTGTTAGAAGGACAACGGGTACAATGCCAGACCTTGTTTAAGCAGTTTAAGAGAGAGAAAGAGAGAGAGTAGGGAGTAAATCCTGAGAACTCTGGCACCTCTTTCTGGAAAGCAGAATGTGGGGGAGAATTGCTGTGGGAGTACAGCAAATCTCATGGCCACAAGCCCTAATCGGTTATTACTATCCAAGCAGATGCCGTCACTGCTTGTTTTGTCTTAGCATTAGTGAAATGTTTGTTCAATTATCATTTGTTTAATTGGCCTTGAGACAGAACTGTCTCAGGAAGCATGCCAAAGTTTCAGGAGTTAAAGAAAAAATGCATGCTTACGGGTGTCTTTGCCCGTTTTTTCCCCACCGTAATGGCATGCCTATAAATAATGTAAGTGGTGCTGTTCCAGAAACACAAGGAAGAAAAAAAAACCTTCTAAACAAAGTCTCAAATCTTTGCCCTAAAAAGGCTACTTTCCTTAATCAGCTTTCAATGTTACTTTCACAGAGACAGTTGAAAACGTCCACAAAAAAGGCATTAAGGAAGATACTGAATGAATAAAAGGCCTTCAATATTTTTTGGCAGTATATAAACTTCAGTCCAGCATAAGGAAGATAGCGGCAAACTTGCTCTAAGAAGACACTAGACAGATAGACTCATGTACTAGAAAAGCATTGAATTTTTCAAATATTATTCTATGCAGTCTTTCAAAGCTAGCAACAGTGCTGTTAAATGGTTTTACACCTGAAAAAAAACCGACGTCATCACCACAGAAATAAAGAGGGGCAGAAACAGGATAAAATGGATACAGTAAAGTGGATAAAATAAAATAGAACATCAATCTTTACTTACTAATAACACAGTTTTTAAAATTTTTGTATGACCTTCAACACAAGGAGCTTTATGGAGATTTTGTTTTAACTACACATCTCCAAAAATAAAAATTATCCTCATTTCCAGGTTAAAAAAAGTTTTCAAATGCAGGTACCAACATCTCACATTTACCCAAGACAAATGTTAGAGATGTCAAGTTCTTCTGGAAGTCTAGTAAGTGGTACAGATGAGATATATGCAAAATAGGCAGCAAAAAAATGAAAAGTACCAGTTGACTATTGAAAGAGAAATGTACTTATAACACAGTAAAAGAAAAGGTGAAAAAGTCTTTCCAGTTGAGTGCTTCATATGAGTCATCCATTGGCAGATTTTTAGTTCAGTAACCGATCCAAGTAAGGCTGGTACTTGGCCTTTCTTGCTAGACATCACACCAGAATCCTGACATACTTATCTCCCTGCTAAATCCCCTGTTCCTACCTCCTTCGTTTTTGTGCAACGCAATCTTCAACTTCCATTCTACTTATGACAAAAACATCCAAGTATTTGTTACTGCAAATATCTTCATATAAACAAGTTACCTTGTGTTATCCTTGTGTTTCATCAATACACTCTTCTTTCACAACAACTATTATAATCATTCTTTTGGTAGCATAATACTTTGATATACAGTGACGAAAAGGTTTTTTGCAGTGTTCTTTTAAAAAATTAAAAATAAACAACCTCTGCTCCATTGTTTACTATTTCCTTTGATGCTACTAATAAAACAAAGCATTTCAGAAATGTAAAGAAAACATTTGCTTCAGTAGAGGAAGAGTCCTTTTGACGCAATGAAAATCAAGAAAGCATTCACCTGACCCACAGATCAAATTACTAATTCTAACTCAAGTTAGTAAAAATAAAAGTCAAGTGTTAAAAAGTGACATGAGATTAAGTAAAACTATATTTTCAGTAAGAAAATGTGTGCTTTATTTAGTGAAGTTCACCCTCATCTTGAACTCACTTAGATGCCTCTTTCTACCTATGATCTAATTAATTTTAAATGGAAAGGTAATTCATAAGGTTACTAAATCAAACACCTGAAACTACTGAATTTTCAATTCAGTTATTTTTATTTTCATTTAGATATATCACAGAAAAACAGAAAAGTTACTCTTAATTAGCCTGTTCTCAGAAAAGTATGAAGAAACTGCTCATGCAACACTTTCAAAATAAGAAAAGCATTAGAAACATAATAATTAAGTCAAAATATTTTAGATTGAATGTCGTCAAGACACCGAATTTTGCTTGACTGATCTCACCAAAAAATTGGCCCTTGTAACTTGAGAAAAATTTCTCTGTTAACACTAACATAAAGTGATCCCATTGATGCTTTTGGACAGTATCAAGAGCTGTCAAAAAGGGTCCTGAAGTGCTCATGTTCATACCAATTGGCACTGAATACCAGCAAACCAGATTCAAAAGTGTAGGTCAAGGTGAAAATGTAAGAAATGGTGAGGCAGAAAAAAAACCCCAAACCAACTCTTCCCTTTTTCTAGCCTTTGTCCTATTTCCCTAATAAGCAGTACTTGGAGTGGAAAACCAAACCAGAACACATTGCCATTGTTGCTAAATCTATAGCAACATCTGCATCACATTTTTATAGGCAGCATCAGGTGACCCTTGACTTAATAAATTTAATTTGCTATGAAGCATTAGAAATGAGGACAGTAAACAAGTAAATGAGTAAAAAATGAGGAGAGTAAGAAATCAACCATATTGGATAAAACAGTGTTTAATACTTTTATCTCCTGAGCATTTCTGCAATCTCTCCATCTACAGATAAATGTAAAAACTCCATAAAACTTACATGTACACCATGTTTGTGTCTAAGTCAATGCACACAATATCCTGTGGTGGGTCATACAGATCAAAGTATCGTGAATCAACTCCAACAATAAATGGAAGAGGTGCACTGAGTACGGTGGCCAGAGACAAAGGACAAAGAGGGATATATGGACACTGCCACTGAAATGGAAATATCATCTGAAGGAAAAATTAAATGAAATCAAGACATTAAAACAAGACAACAGTGTACAATAAAAACCAAGAAGTTACATGCAGCAAGTTGAAATGAAATTGCTAAAAGCCTTGTAACACTGTCAGAAAAGATTCTTCAAGGTTGATCACTTATTTACAGCACATCTCTTAGTCACCTATGCAAAAATGTTGATAATTCTAATAGTTATAATAATAGGACATGCTAGGACACTTTAACTAAATGCTATTGCTGGGAAAAAATTATACATTTAACGTATCAATCATTTTAACTTACAAAAACCTTGTTAACAACTGTGGAGTTGGAACAGATTTTTCTCACTGCTGTACAGAAGACTTTGTACTTACAGCTACTACAGCTTCAGCAACTCCTGTCAACACAGCTGGTCTAAGAGAATGGAGGAGGATCTTGCCTTCTAGTAACACAAAGAGTAACAGAGTGGCACAGTTTTCCGGTCCAAGATTCATGAGGAGAGTGCTAAAGTTTGCTCCACTAAGTGGTGGGTGGGAAGGGGAAAGAGAATAAGAATGTCACATGATTTTTTTTTTTAAAAAAGTCACTACTATCAACCTTCTGACAACTGTTTGGGACCAACTAGTTGAATGGTGCTAATATTACCAAACATCAAATATAAAAGATCTATCTATATATCTAATATCTATCACCTCAATATGAGACTTGTACTGCTACAGAGAAAGCTAAATTCAAATTTTATTGCTAAAGAAACATATGCTATACCATGCTACCACTGAGTTTGTGGTTTTTTATGGCATTCTCTCTCATATACGTACAGGCATCTTGTCTTCATAACAGTAAAAAGGATCTAACTGGTTAACAACTAACCCAAGCACAAATAACAGCAGTAGTTTCATAAGATGGGTTACCTCAGGCAAAAATAATGAGCTAGAGTATCCATTTGATCTTAGAATCACAGTATCAAATTCTAACACCAGTCAAGTAAAATCAGTCCATCATTCTGATAGCAACATGCCTACAGTTTCTACAGTTGAGACTCCATTTCATTTGTTTGGCCTGTACGCATTTAGGAATTGTAACGACATCCGTCCTTGGAAAAGTGCTTCCATGTTACTTTGCAGTTCAGTAGCTGGCTGCAATTTTTCACTTAAGAGGCTGTGTAACAGATGAGATTAAACATGGGACTCTTCTGCATACAGAGTATAATATGATAATATTTAAGGGAGGGAGAAAAAAAAGGGAGACTATTTTGGCTTTTAACTTAAAAACAAACCAAAAATAAAAATAAAAACACCCAAACAAAAATCCCATGAGCTCCAGCCCAGAAGATGCAGGCAATATCCACAGATAGCATTAACCTTCAACTATAAAACAACAATTTTTAGGTATCATTTTGAATTTCCAAAATGTTTGCACACCTGTGCATTGACTGATTTCACACAACTACTTGACATAAACGTCTCTCTTGAATCCAAATAGGAAAAAACCCAAGATAACAAATAGCTTATCTATGCTACTAAAAATCTTTTTCTTACTACACTGTTCTGAAAATACAAGATATCTAAATACTTTTTTTTTTTCACATAGCCTGCTTCTTCTTTCTTCAGAGCCCCTACAATAATCTGTCAATTTGTCTTTATTTCAGGATAATTTGTGATATTGTTCTTTCAGAAGGGACAGTTCTATGCAAAAAAGACAACACTATATTATACGTGCATATTGAGCTTTCTGTTTATGAGATCATATAACACTGCAGTAATGTTTGGCTTCCTTGTATGACTTGTACCTATTGCCTCTGAATTTTTCAAGTAGCATACATTTAAAGCATTAATAATGATACCTTAATGGCAATGGCGTAGAAACTGGCTGAGACAATATTAATGCATCATGGGCAGAAAGCTGAAATACAAAGTAGTGTGTGATCGATATGGACAACTCCAAAGTTAAAACAGTATAATATTCCACTATAAATTAATATATTCACAGTCTCATAAACTGCCTAACAGACAGGGTCACAGTGTCATACAAGAGAGGCAAATCAGAGTCAATCTTTGGGACTTGTGTTCGCTGGGTCAACAGAGCTTGTATTAGTCACTGAAAGCATTCCCAGAAGTTACAGGAAATTGTCTGTGACTCAGTGTTGAGCACGCAACTGCTGCTAGGTGATTAAACAGAGAAGCACAAGAGACAGTGCCCTAGGGGACTAACCTTTGTCCCACAGTGGTGTGTGGACAAGTGAGAGAAAGATAGAAAACAAACACCCCCAGCACTGAGGTAATGCAAATAGTGCCTATAAAATTAAAGGATAACATATGTCAGAAACTTCAAAAGTGCAAGTAGGACTCTGCTGTCATCCACACCACCTGAAGCCTGAAACAGTTGCCTTTGCTAAGATACTTCAGGTCTATATCAGTGAAAGAGAAGGCCAACCCACCCATCTCCTCCTTTGTCCCTCCCAGTAGATGGGTATTCAAAGCTGACTAAAAAGCCTAATGGAAGAAACCAGGCTTTCAAAAGCAAGGAAGAAGATTTGCCATTATTGTAAACAGAAATGGAAGTAAATGTTTTGCTGACCTGCACAAGAATTCTTGGCCTTTGTGGTGAAGGGAAAGGTATATTGTGCATAAAATGGGATATATGCCTGAAAAGAAGATAAGATGTTAGAAAACCAGCACCAGGGACTAATCAGAGACTGAAAACAATATTAATCAAATTTTGGACTTACCATGGTACCATGTTTTAGAAAGGCTGCTAAGATTTATTTACTGTTTTGATAAGTTTAAGAACCTATTTATGTCAACTGAAACAAAGAAGCTCCATTCACTCACATTTCATGCGTGAAAATTAATATTGTCAGCTTCAGATATGTGTGCAAAAGATAGGAACACACTGGCATTTAGGCAAGCCATCTAAAATCCCAGGCAGCCTAACCCCATTCTAATTTTTTCTAGTTTCTAATGAGAGTCAGCTAAGAGAAACTAAATACTCCACTGCCAGACACCTAATACAGTTTTCAAGGTAACATTGTATTTCAGGAAAATTTTAGGACCACGAAAAGCATACTCTACTGAGTTTACACAGAGAGACACGCATACAAAAAAAACTCCAACCCTGTATCAGTAGCAGTGCTAGGAAACAGAGACATTCATTGCTAATGCACAGAGTCCCTGAGCTTATATTTATTAACCTAAAATGCAGGACTGCAAACATTAGCATGTATCTCATAGCTCAGCCATTTTCTGTGTTTCAGGTAGTTAAGAGAAAGATAAACAGGCTTAACATATTCTAACAGAAAAGCCATGGTAAAATACAGTTCGTTTTCCTGGCACTGCAAGAGCCACTGCTATTAAACAGAAGCAGCAACAGTTTCAATTGCTACAACATAAGCTACACAGTGCAAGCAAGAGGATTGTGCAAATATATCAATAAAGTAAGTGTGACATGTATAACTCACAGGACTTCTTGAGCTGATATAACTACCTTCCTACATTAATTTGAAAAATGTTTTACGTACTTTTCAATGGGAAGAGGATGAGGTCCAGAGACAGAGAGTTTGTAGAGGAACATCAGAAATTTTCGAAACGCATCAAAGAAAGGCCAGTGTGAGAGAAGGCAGATGCATTTGTTGGAATTAATGGACTTGGAAGTAACTACTTTCCTCTCTACAGCTGTCAGGAGACCCAGCTGCAATTGTTGTTTTTCTGTTAACAGCTCCCGAGGATAAGGCTCATAAAACTGAATAGCAGCACCATAAACCTAAAAGATGAAGAAAACCAGCTGAGAAGACCCAGTATTTAACAGGACATTTTGTGTCAAAATCCTACCCATTAACCATTACAGTTAAAAAAAAAAAAAAACAACAAACCCAAAACCAAAAAAACCCCTCGTGAAATGACCATGTTCGGTAAATTCCCCTATCATTATCACAGTAAACAATAACATTATTTTAGCTTTGACTTCACTCATTTTATCAAGCTAAGATGTTTTGTAATATTACTTACCTATTTGTCAGACTTTCATAATTAACTGAATTACTCTGGCAAGTTTAGCAAAAGGAGAACAGGGAAAGATGGCTACCACAGTAGACATTCTCTCTGGGGAAAACATTGGCAGCTACTGCTTCATCTTTGCACAAGAAGTATTAATATCTTGGAGAAGGACTTCTTGTGTTGAGAAGTATACAGATTTCCCTGATAGGGTACCAAGGCAGAGTGGAAGTTGAGCTATTATCAGTAATAGAGCCAAACCGCTGCTTATTAGTCACAGAGGACTGATCACACATTACAATCACTTATTCCCTCATGCAGTTCACACACACAGACACAGTTGGTTAGCTGAAGCAACAGCTGGGAAACCAACCCCAAACAAGGGCTCCCTTGCTTCCTCAGGTGTACCTATAATCCTGTAGTCTCTATATATAGCAGGCACTGCCATCCCAAACATGGGCTGAGTCATACAACACATACTTGGTGCCCACATGCCTCATACAGACTGGGCAGATGGCCAGTGTTCTGAATCTATCACTTCATGTGAATTAAACAGTAACAGTGGTCTCAGGAGGCCATCAGTTCTTGAGAGTCTTTCAGTTACCTCTCAGCACATAGTTTTCCTCTCCCTGCTCTGCCATTTTCTGGTAATTATTTTCCTATTCACACACATAGATATCTGCAGAGCCCAACTGCACAAATTCACACAAAAGTGGCTTTTAAGTTCACCACAGGAAAACCATCACAACTTAAACATTTCTAACACATGCGGTAAGTGAACATTTCTTTAACATGCAGGCTGCATTTCCATTCCCAGAATAATCTTACTTGAAAGCACAGGGAAATCCATGCACTGTGAGTTTTGATTTTGCTAAGTGTATGATTCAGCTTATGTGGGACTAAACAGCACATACCCTTCCAGCTATTTACTTCTGTCTTATATGAAGGCTTAAGAAATACAATTTTATAAGGTAAGTATTTAACAAGTTATTTTGTGGTATTTCTCACATACAGAAGAAACAATGCTTATTTATCTCCATAGCAGCCACTTGAACTAACAGCAAGAACTAGTCACAGTGTGGAGCCATACCTTTTCTGCAGAAGAGCAGGTCAGTACAAATGTTGAGAACACTGGCAGTGGATATTTGGTTTGAGGGTCCCAGCACTCAATAGTAGCTCCCATAGGAAGGCAGAAGAGAGGTACGGATTCCGTCAGTGGGAAGGACTCATAGTTCTCTTGAGGATATCTGAAAATTAAGCCTTCAGAATAGAAGAAACAGTAAGTACTTTTGCTCTGCAAGCCCTAAATAATCACAGAATCATAGAATGGTTTGGATTGGAAGGAACTTTAAAGATCATCCAGTCCAACCCCCCTGCTGTGGGCAGGGACACCTCTCACCAGACCAGGCTGCCCAAAGCCCTGTCCAACCTGGCCTTGAACACTTCCAGGAAGGGGCCATCTATAACTTCCCTAGGTAACCCGTGCCAGTGTCTCACCACCCTTAAAGAATTTCTTCCTAAAATCTAATATCAATCTAATCTCTTTTAGTTTAGAATCATTACACCTTGTTCTGTCATTACACTTCCTCTTAAAAAGTCCTTCCCCATCATTCCTCTGTAGGCCCCCTTTAATTACTGGAAGCCTGTTACAAGGTCTTCCTGGAGCCTTCTCTTCTCCAAGCTAAACAACCCCCAACTCTCTCAGCCTGTCTTCACCACCTTCTGATCATCTTGGTGGCCCTCCTCTGGACCAACTCCAACAGCTCCATGTTCTTATATTGGGAGCCCCAGAACTGGAGACAGTACTTTAGCTGGGGTCTCACGAGAGCAGAGTAGAAAGGGGAAAATCACCTCCCTCACCCTGCTGGCCACACTTCCTTTGATGTAGGCCAGGATATGGTTGGCCTGGGCTGCATGCATACACTGCCAGCTCATGCTGGGCTTGTCATCAACCAGCATCCCCAAGTCCTTCTCCTCAGGGCTGCTCTCATTCCTTCATATTCATGCATGTATAATGTAGTAATTCATAATGTAACATTTATTCATAGTATAAGCAATATATTTTCCACAATAAACAGGAAAGTCTGATGGTTATCTGGACTTTAACTGAAGATTACACCTGCAGAAGAAGAAAGTCTCTCATTGAACGGTAAGTCTAAGTCATTCAAGTAACATTTAAAAATTGGTATAAAGACTGAGGCACTCCCTTTTGGTAAGGCATTTGCTAAAAAACTCAGCACATAGTGAAAACTAGTTAGTGAATACTTTTACTTTAAACCGGTTGGGAATTACCTGTGATATTTAAATGTGCCACTGGAACTGATTTATTACAAAGAAATTCCTATGAAGAAAGCGATCATTTATCTACTGTAGAAACCAGCAGCAACACCTCCATTGAAAATAGGATGAACTAGCTGACTGTCCACATTTTCTGCTAAACAGCCAATACACTAAATTTAAAATTTTAACTTTCAAATTAAATGAAAGATGTTGCATTAGCTGTGAGACATAAAATGAAATATGAGTAAGGTTGAATAGAATTTTTAATTACTCTTTCTCCATCATCACCACCACAAAACACATGAAGTCTTTTGTTACATCTGAAAACCTTGCAAAGCCTTCTGCTAAAGCTCCTAAGCTACCAAACCTGTCATGATAAGATCTAATTTAATACAGGACAATAGTATTCCTATTAAGGCTTAATTTTTTTTTCCTTCGCCCGGGAAAAAGTGAGGGGAGCAAAGAAGGCACTATAGGAGTTGATTTCAACTGACATGCTCTAGGGATAGCATTCTTACAGACAGCACTTAAGCTTTTAGAATTATTACTTGATTTCATCAAGGCATTCAAATCCTTCTGTTAGCATGTTTAGACAGTCTGCTTCTAAAATTACTTACCAGCTTTATATGCTAAAGAGTTAGAAGCTGGCACAGACTTCTTATAACAAAGGTATACACTGGAACCCCACTGGAAGACACAAGTTTCATCTTAGAACCAGCCATGATGACAACAGGCAGCAGAAAAATCAAGGATAAGCATTTGAATATACTCCCAACTTACAAACAACACACATTTAAATAAAAAGCATTACAGACTAAAATAACTGGTTGGCTGCTGAGTGCACATAAATCATGAAATCAAGTATTCACTCTTCTCACATTTTTTAGAGAGTACAGGATTCACACACAATAATCACACCATCACTACCCTTTGGCTTATTCCAACAGAAGATCAGGGAAAAATAAAGTAGATTATGTGCAGCTTCACATTTTCTTGGCTACTGAAAAGAAGAATCTTATGGGAACCTCACCAGTGGAAGTGAAATTCTAAACATCATCACTTGAAGCTTTTATCATACTTCCACAAAATGGTTATTTACACAGTATTTTTGCAGTTTGTCTAAATATGGTCTATCATTTGAAAAAAATCACTTATTTTAACCCAAGTAAACTAAATGCAAAACAGACTACATAAAAGTGAACTGACTGAAATAAAAAAGTATATGCAAAAACTGTAAGCAGTAATTAACATTCTTACGTCTTAGTAACATAGGCATTATTAATAACTATGAAAATACCATTTGTGACTCATCCCAAGTGTCAGCATTACCAAAGGAGGGCTGAAAATAAACAATAATTTAAAAAAACCAACAAAATCCTTGGCACCTACTCCTAAATAACACCTAGAGATGAATATGTGAACTGAAGTAGAGAGCAATCAGTATGAAGACGTTAATTCTTAACATCAGAGGGAAAAAATCCTACAACTGAAGTCTCACACATGGTACACAGAATGAAAGAACTATGATGAAGTGACAGAACACAATTATTACAGTGCTAAAAAAAAAACAAAAACAACACAAAAACAAAAACAAACAAACAAAACAAAAGCCAAACCTACTCAAACTTCTAAATACTCACCATACCACAATTTAAATTCTTATCAACTTTGCAGAATGTATGTGGAGGCGTTTCTCCTTTGCTGGTTACAATAACACAGATATCTGTCACTGCCAATGAATTTTGAGGTCGTATCAGAGGAGCCCTTCGATATGTGATAAAGATCCGTTGAGAAGAAGCTGAACTGTTGTTAACATTAGCGCAACGTCCGTAAGGGGTAGCTTGAATCACCTCACAGCCAGAAATGATGCGTTCCTTCCCTTCATATAGAACTCTGCAGAAGGAATGAAACACAATGTTACGTGCATTCAAATATATGTGAAGTTATTTGAACAAATTCACCGAAACTGTACATCCACTAGTACCCTATGTCATCGCTGCAACATTCTAATGTGCATTTTATACATTGTCTTTCATCATGCATGATTTGAGGCAAAGAAACTGTTCAGGAATAGGTAAATATTATAAGAAATCTTTGTGGGTACAATTCATAGTTATGAAAAATTAAAATCAAGCCACACTGAAAAGGATTTAGTTATAGGGTAGAATTAGTAGGAATGCTGTATTATCAATGCAAATTAAGTACAAAGGAAGCTTTGAACTGCTTGAACACATGATATCTGACAATTTCTTGGAAATTACTTCCATCACTAAGATGTCTGGAAAGTCATTTCAGACTGTCCCCCCTCCTCTTTTTTTTAAAGGAATGATGTTGGAAAAGAACAGAAGAGAGAAGTCTGCTTCCTAGGTGAATTTCTACAGAAAAAAACCTCACCCAAACCCAGTAATGCTTTACATTCAGAGTTTGAATTACATTCCTTAAGGGTGTAAAAAAAACAAAATAATACTCCATTCCACAGAAAAGGAAGAAATAATAACTACAGTTGTTGCCTGTATTCCTAGAAAGCAGAATATATCTTACATGGCCACACACAGCAACATTCACCTGGTACCTGAATTTTTCAGCCAGATCACTAGTTTAGATCACCATATTCTTAGCAAACAAAAAGAAGGATCCTTCATAGCTTCACAGCACCTAAACAAGCTAAGACTTTACATTCCAATCTTAGGAGCGCATAAAGAGGTTACAAGAACTCTTCCACATCACTACCTTACATTAACCAGAAGAGAGTATTAGCAGAGCAGTCTCCAATGAAGTTTCAGTTCAGCTTTATTTCAATTTCATGTATTTTAAATAGAATACAAGAATTTAAAGTTCTTCCAGAAATATTTGTCAGCTGACAGCTTTTGAGAAGGAAAACCATATTAATCAGAAGACTCAAGCAGCTCAATTTAATAGGTTTACAAGTATTCTCTGGAAGATAATTAATGAAGAATTTCTCAGTTGTGCAAATACTTCTAAGAGGTATGGGGCTGCCCAGTGTGCAAGGCTGCAACAGTGGGGTCACCTCCCACCAAAAGCAAACAGAAAATGAAAGCAACTCTCAACCCACATATATACCAGCAAAATTATTATTAAAACCACACAATTTCCTGACCTCATGCACAATATTGAATTTAAGCAAACAGAAGAAAACCACCACCCATGGATCACTCAGCTTAAACAATGATTTTAATGATTCAGATGAAAACCTCCAGAAGTGATGCATGAAATATTGAACATGACACCCTGTATATACAAAGTCCTCCCTGAGAGAGTAAGTTTACTCCTGTCTGTTTCAACTTCCCAGTGGCTGCCTTCAATTAATTAGTACTGATCAGGATAAGACTCGTTTCCTGCTTATATGAGCTTATACTTTGGTCTCAATCCTAAATCCACCTTATTTGCTACATTATTCTATCAACTTCAATAAAGTTTCTTTTCAAGTAAAATGTAACATAGAGGTTCCTCTAGATGTTAGGTCCTTTCTTTGTAAGAAAGACCAAAAAATCTTGTTATCTCTTCTTAAGACTCTTTCACATTGTTCATGCAAGCTTTCTCATGACCAGCTTTACTGTTTTAAAGATACACTTCAATACATCAGATAACAGAGTTTAAGAAAAGATAAACACTACCTTCTTGCAGTTGTAAAAAAAAAAAATTAAATCACAGAAAACTCTGCTTCTGGAAAACCATTTCAAATTGCATCGTGTAGGACTGTTCTGCAGCTTGACACCTCCTCTAGGTCCAACCACATTTCTGTCTCTTACAGTGCTTATGCAAAATAACTCTTAACAACTCTTCCCGTCTTATTTAAGGGAAGGTAGTATGCCAGTATTGAATTATAAAGGAGCTAGGAGGCCCAGAGGAGAAGAGTTGGGTCAAGCAGAGGGAAAAGACTGAATTATCTTTTATTTCTACTGCCACCACTATTATAATTGTAAACATACAAGTGATTCTTTTCCTCATTATTATCCTAAGCTGTTCCAAACACTCAACTGCAGTTGTCACACTGGTAGGATTTAAGGAGCAACGGAAGATGCTGGCTGTTAAGAACACCTTCCAGTTTCTATTATGGTTCTTGAAACTTGAGTTCACTTTTATATTTGAAATACATCTCTAGTAAAGAAAAATACTTGTTCTATCAATATTCCTGCAGATATTTTCAGACACCAGGTATGCAGAGTAATCTGGGTCTTTGACATAGAATCACTACCCAAACTAAAGCTTCCCAAACTAGTAAAAAAAAAATAGTATTTCTGTAATATTTCTGCAAGTTACCCAGAGTATAAATTACTCAGAAATACAAGAACCTCTGCTTCAGACAAGAAGTCTGATATTTTTACCTTGGTCCTTTCTACAGTGTTACAAATTGTAAAACCACTTACACTTAAAATCACAGAATCACAGAATCTTAGGAGT